AGTGGTGATTCCTAAAACATACCCATTCAAACTGTTTGTTTTTTGGTGGGGTGGGTGGGGGGCAGCTAATGTAAGACCTAGAAGGTTCTGTGCATGGACGCAGACTTAAGGACCTCATAACACCAACTGCAGATGCACTTCAGCTCTAGTATCGTCACTGGATCATATTAAAATAGCCCCTGACACCAGGTATGAAGGTATTAACAATTTCTTTTTAAAAAGTGCCTTATCAACAAAGATAATCAGGAGCAGTTTGCCTTCACATTACAGGAACAGCATACTTTCACTATCTTACCTCAGGGTTAGGTCAACTCTCCTCTCTGTCATAATATAGCCCAAAGAAATCTTGTTCATCTTGACATCTCACAGAACATCTAACTGGAACACGGTATACTGATTGGACTTGATGAGCAGGAAGTAGTAAATACCTGAGATACCTCAGGAAGATATGTGCTGGAGGACCGGAGATAATCTCCCTGAAAAGTTCAGAGACTTGCAGAACGGGTGAAATGTTAATGGGCCTAGTGGCCTGGGAATGCTGAAACTGACCCTCGACAGCAAACAGCAGATTGCTGCCCCTTGCATGTATCATGAAGAAGAAGGCACAAATGCGGTGCATTCTTTGGACTTTGGGAAAAGATACTGCACACTGGGTATGCTGCTCTGATGCACGTACCAGGTATTCCACAGGCTGTCAGTGCTGAGAGAGGACTGGGGTGAGGAAAGGATCTGCGGCACATACCTCTGCTATGATCAAAGCTGCCCTGTGCCTTTGGCTCCAAGACCCAGCAATGCAGTGACTTTTGGAAATGTTTGTGGCTGTAAAACATCTCTGTCAACAGAGGTATCAGAGTGCAGAACTGTGTGTTTTTTTAAGAAAACACATGCAATATTGTACCAATAAGTATTCTCCCCATGTTTTAATCCTCATCTGAGGACATGCTTATTTATTTGAGAGAGAGAAGAAGGGAGGGAAAGAGACAGAGAAGGAGAGAAACACCAGTGTGAGAAACATCAATCAGTTGCCTCTTGGATGTGCTCCGACTGGGGACCAAATCCACAACCTAGGTACATGCCCTCACCGGGAATTGAACCCCATGACCTTTCGGTTTATGGGACAATGCTCCAACCAACTGAACCATATTGGCCAGGGCTAACTATTCTCCCTCTTAAAAGTCCATCCTAACTTCATATTGGACTCTGTTTAACACCGAGAGTACTAGGCCACTGAACTCCAATGACTATGTGGCCCAAACGACACAAAATGAACTTGGTGTTATCTGACTCAGTATAACATTGGATAAGATGTGCACAAGAGCATTTCATTGTAAATGAAACTGGGACCATGCAGGTTTGGGAAGCACAAGCTAACTTCATGAGCAAGTAGCTCAGGTGTCCCTGATAACCTACTACCACTGCTCCACAATCTCCCCTCCAATCACATGTATGGCCCCATGGGGTGTTCTCAGTGACTAATACATGGAGAATGAGGCTGTGTGGACCTAGCTGTAAACAGAGGGCATGGTATTTGGTATGAGCTGTAACCACTGTGTTCCAGGCCCACTGAGGGGCGCCGGCCCCGAAATACAGCAGTGAAAGGATATCCCCAGCAGAATTTCAGACTGTGTACCCTGCATGGAAGGAGAGCTAACTAAGGTCACGGCACATGGTATGGCCATATGGTCAAGGACCTGGAAGAACAAGACTGGAAAATTGGTGCTAAAGGTCTAAGTGAGAGTTATGTGAACGAGCCTCGCAGAATCGGGACAAAGCGTAATGACATGTCCCACGTGAATGCCCTCTAGAAGGTATCCACATGGGGAAGGCTCTCAGTGACCTGGACAAGAGTATTTGTGGCGTGACCCAAACCAATCAGACCATCTATTTGCAAATGTCAGTCAGTCTTAACCTAGCTACTGTTGTGCCTACTCAAGGAAGTGGCCCACATACAAAGTGACAAGAGGGGAGCTATGTTATGGATTCAGCAACACAGACATTTCCCGCTCTACAACTAATTTACTACCACCAGTGCTGACTTCACAGCTTTCTAAAGTGGAGACCCTAACTACCCCAGGAAGATTAACCCATCAATTGGTAGGCAGGTTACATTGGGCAGCTTGCAATATGAGGGAGGGAGGAACACATTCAACCAGGAAACACATTTTATGGCAAAGGAAATACAGCAATGGGCTCAAACCTACATATTCCACTGTTCACGCCTCATGTTCCGTGATCCAGAATTACCTGGCTAAATGGAGGGGTAAGGTGGCCTACCAGTGGAGCGGTCCAGTGTGGCTTCCCACTGGGAGGAGTTTGGGTGTGTTCTATCGGATATGGTATATGCCTAATGTCGTCTCCTCCACAGCCACAGCGCATGAGTCTGATGACAGAGGGGTTAAGGCAGGAGTGGCTACAACATAAATATATCCAATAACGCATTTACAGGATTTTTCTCCCTGTGCCGAAATCTCAGGATTGGTGGTTTTGGAGACCTCGGTGCCCATGGGAAGAATGTTTCCACCGTGGATTAGAGTTCTAGCACTGTTGTTTGGAAGCAGAGACTACTTCCCGGCTGTCTGGGGCACCTCAAGCTGCCGAACTATAGGGAGAGAAGTGGGCTACTGGTTGGTTTTTCTGGATACTAAGTGATTTGGGGTTGTTTCTGTATAATAGGGGCAAGGACAACTGTGCTTAGAATTCGAGAGGTTCACTGGGGCACTTATTTAAAATAAACTTTCTCAATAATCCTGGTTATTGTAAAACAAAGGCAGAACCACAGTACTTACAGAAATTAAGGTTTGGGTTACCCACCGGATAAAGAAACCTGTCCAGCCCAGGTGCTGAAAAGGGGGTTAAGGAGAAGCTAGGATGGGTAGTGGAAGAAGAACGCTGTGATGATCAATTTGACTTTCCTGACCAATTACAGAAGCACTGACTTTAGCAGCTTTGTTTCATGTTTCATCTATTATGAAAAGCACTGGTGATGGCTAACATTTTAGATTCCACTTGGAAGGATGGCTGAATTAATATTACCCCTTGATGATGCAGTAGCTGAATGACAACCTTCTCTCCCTGTCACTCCATTAAACTCTCTTCAATTAGCCAGTTTGAGCCTGCCGTTTATATTAGCAAAAATCATGCCCTGATAAACCAAACTGCAAAATCAGCATGATTGTATTTATAGGGGCCATGATTTTATTTTGGAACCTCAAAGTAGCAATATATTTATTTATAAAATATACCATTTCACAGAAACAGCTTCAATTTATACACACAAACTTTATAATTACACACAACCATGTAAACAGTGTTAAGGGTCTGGCTTGGCCAAAGCTAATGAGAATGACCTATTTTTGGAGGGACATCTTTCCCTCCCCTCACTTCATCACCCACCAACCAGGTGCCTCCGATGGTCCATGCCTAATTTGCATACAGAAGCTAATTGAAGCTGCCTAGCTCAATCTAACACAAAAACCAGGGTGTCTTCACTTGTGAGGCACCACCCACAAGGAAAAATCTATGAAAAGAACAGAAAGGAATGCAAGGAAACAGAAATCGAGATGAATTTCGAATGCCTTCCAGAGGTGTCAGCAGGCATTGAACCTTCTAAGAAGATAGCGATCACCAGGTAAAGAAACATGTGTACACTAGACCATAATACTAAAAGCAGCACAATTTAAAAAAAATATATAATAGATGTTTAAAGTTATTTTTGCCTCAACTTCATGTAATAGATATGTTCATGAAAAGCTATGTTTTATATAATTCTTGGGCAACTTGACAACATGTTAATAAGCCAGCATACATGGCTAGATAAAAAAAATAATTGTCTTAAAAACCTTATGATAGATAATGATTTTTATAATAAAACACCACTTTCAGATATAGTTTTCATAGCCCAATTTCAACATAAAATAGAAAATGTCATAGTTGGAAATAAGTGAATTACTTTGAGTCAGAAAGGAAAGTAAAATATATAAAGTATTTTGTTTTAATGCCTGCATTAATTTCATTTTCCTATAACTGCCCCAAATTTGAGTAATATCTAAATAGTTTTACATATTTCACATTCATATAAATGATGAGGTAAAACTTTAAGACTTAACAGGAAAAATGTAAAGAAAGATAATACAAGCATTACCTCACAGTCCACAGGACTCTCTAACACCTTTGTCAGTGTAGATGAACACATCACTTTCATCATAACTTTATAACAAAATTAAATGTTAATGTCACTAGAAATAGAAGGAGCATATAAAACTAGCTTGAGAGCATTCTATATTAATTTTCCCCTTTAACTTCCTGGTTATGGCAATTCATGCTAAAAGTCAAATGAGAATCATTCAAATTTCTCATCATTCATTCTCTTTTAGGTACTATATTCTGGCATTTAAAAAATCAAACCTATTTCAGATTTTTAATGATGATTTATCATATAGAGAATAACTGCAGAAAGCATCCAGTGACTACTGTTTGAGAGTTTAAAAAAAAACAAGAATTAAAGGGAAATAGAGTATATTCCAACAGGCAATTTTCTAATGAGCATAATCTTTTCAGGTTTAAAAATAGCAATATCTGACTGCCCACTGAGGTCCCGGCCTGGGTGCTGTAATCAGCCAAAAAATAATAATAATAAATCACAGCTTTCATCTCAATGAAAGGCACCATCAGTATGTAAAGACGGTATTTCCCATTATCCTGAATTAATCACAATTATTGGGTTAATAATTATAAAATAAAAAATCTGAGAAAACTTATATAATAGCTGTTTTTCTTACTTCAGTGGCTTGAAATAAGAGACCTCAGTTGACAGTGCTCTTTCTGCCGAATCCATAAGGATTCGTGCACCTTGCAACATCCATTAGTTTTTCAATGTACACAAATAGAAATACTGTCTAGGTCATTCCTAGCTATGTACCAAAGTTCTGTCTCACCTACGGCACTCTCCTGGACACTCACTCACGCTGGAGCCTTCCTCTCGAAGCGCTGCTGCCACTTACCGGAGTGGGTCCTGAGGTGTCCCGTGAGGGCGTCCCTTCTTCTGCACGCATAGCTACAGAAAGGACATTTGAACGGCTTCTCTCCAGAGTGTAACTTTATGTGTCTCAGAAGATTGCCCTTCTGAGTAAAAGAAGCCCCACACTGGTTACAGTGGAAGGGACGTTCACCTGAGGAAAGGAAAAGAGATGAGAAAGGCCAAGTAGGTTATGTGCAAGGGACTAAGTCGCCATACACTGTTCACTAGAGCCAGTCCTTCGTGCTGAGAATATTCACTCCCTCCTAGGTCTTCTAAACTTTTACCTTTCCAGAATTTGCTTTTCAAATCTAAAGTCTCAAGCTTTAGTTCAAGTGTTGTTTTCTGCCTTTACATAAATTTTACAGAATTCCTGTCATTGACTCAAAAGAGTAACAGTAATAGAATTGACAAGTGACTGAACTAGGTGCCATCACTTTACTGATGTTATTGGTTGCTTAACATATAATATTTCAGTCCTCGTAATGATATATCTAATCAGGTATCTATAGTTTCAATTTATAAGTGAAGGAACTGAAGTTCAAGTATCAAAGTATCTGGTAACAGTCACAGAGTTAAGAAGTACCCAAACTGATAACTGGTTCTTGGTCAGATTGACTATATCTTCCTCTCCTTAACTGTACCACGCTCTCGTTAAAAATCACAAATTTTCAGTCGAAAGGCACCTCTAGTCTAATTCTCTCATTAAGCTGATAATTTTCTTGTCAGGGGGACAGGAGGTTCAGTGAAGGAACCAGGTTACAAAGCCCATTGCCACAAAACCTCCAAGTACAGCTCAGGTCTCTCAGTTCTAAGTCTCGGCAGGGGCCTGGGCAAAGCTTCCTTGTGTAATCAGGGAAAATCCAAGAAAACTATTCATTCGGGCATTTCTTTTTTGTTATGAAAATCATTTTTTTGATAGGCATTTTCCCTCCTATCACTGATATTGCTGTAAAACTGCTTAGCCACAATTATCAGTTCAGTTTGTTGTCATCAACCGGCTGACGTCAGCAACCATAAGGCTGACGAGGCAGTAAAACGGGCACGTGGACCCAACTCGGCTAATCACACCATGAAGAGCACACTGCTATTTAAGTTTGTCTATGTCTAAAGACAGACATGCAACATATTGTAAACGAATAAATACTACAAATACATCATATTAAAGCTCAAAGTCTAGAATAAAAATGAAATTTAAAATACAATTCCGTTTTGACTGAACTGGACCATTTTTGTACTTGAAGTTAGAGAATTATTACAATTTTAATAGTTTAAAATTTTTTGAGCTGAATTGTCATGGTTTATATATCTAACTGAAACATTCATAATAATAGTGAATAATAAAACCTCTATATTTTGGTGGGATTTTAATATAATGAAGGCAAACTCATTGAAAAAAAAAGAAATCTGAAATTTATAAAGAAAATAAAATGGCCTCTTTCTAACAGCTGCCACCGCAGATTCTACCATACAGATTTGATATAAACGCTAAAGAAATTAAAATGGATAAATCAGGTGTATCTCAAATTTTGTCGTACTTGCTCATTTTGAAATTTAATAAGATACACAACAAAAAATTGTGATCTCTCTGTATGTAGCAAAAGTTGAGGTTTTTTCTTAAGAAATCTGGAGATCTCATGAGCTAAGTTTACAAAATGTCCTACGATAATGTATTAGATTGAAACAATTATTTGTCACATTAAAGTTGTCTTATATTTAACCTTAATTAACTTTTTTGATTCACCTGCTAAAACTGACAAATTAAAAATCAATACTAAATAAGTTTAAAAAAATACTAAAACTAATTAAATCAACATTAAGTAAGTTATAAAAAAGATACTTGACCTAAAACCTCTCATAAACAGTCTTAAAAATAGTCAACAATTTAAAATAAATCGAATTTGGTTAGCCTTTTAAATTTTACACATACATATGCACACACACATGAACACACATGTAACACACATATAAACTTAAGTCTTTGACTTTTTTCCCAATGGAATAGCATTCTACAACTTTAAAATCTGGGTTTTCTACTACCCACCCCTGCCATGGAAATAGTAATAAAAAGGAAGAAGATGCACTTTCTTCATAAAATTAACTTTTTAGATAGCAGGAAAAGAGCAAATTTAAATTATAATTTTCACTCCAAATATTTTATTTTTTACTTTATTTTACTTTTGAAATCTGTCTCTGCAGGGTTTCCCAGGCAAGTAAGAAATCAGTGTGCAAGAACTTCAAAATGAATTAAATTAAGGTAGTGAACAAAAACATTTGAAATCATGTTTGCCTTTGAAAAATACTCCCCTAGCATGTCAATCAGATTTTCTTGATCAACTCCTACAACTGAAATAGTTTAAGATCCCCAATTTAGAGAACTGACTTCATTCTTCAATATAATGCTAAAATAAAAACTAAAAAAATAATAAGAATGACTCTTTTAAAATGATTTTTAAATTCATCTAATTGAGTTTATGGGACTAATGACAGGGTGATTTAGTTTTCACATTTGCAAAATATTCCAGATACCTTCAAATACTACGAAAATAAGAACTGCTTTTGCATTTATATAACCATCCTTAAAGGAACAGGAGGAGCAAAAAGGGGTCTAGGCGTGTCAGGAAATCTTGCCATATTGCTGAGTGCGTAAGAACTAGTGTGGAGGCACTTCCTATGCTCCCTGGCCCTTGGAAGTAACGAAAGAAGCATGCTGCGGGTGAACAAGCATGCTCCCATTTTGGACAGAGGAACAGAGGGCAGAGGCAATATTAATAATGTACTCTGATTTCAATCAGATGAACCTTTGAGAAACAGAGATCTGCTTTACATGAACTGTTTAGATTTTTTTTTAATTCTTGGATAATAATTCTATAGCTTCACTCATTTTGGGCTGAAATATGCTTAGCTACTCTTAATTTCTTCATTATGTAAATAATAATTTTTTTTCACAATCCTCTTTTTTTTGCATGTGTTCTACACTAAATCTAGTTGGGATTACACTGAAAACCCTCAGTGATACTGCTATTGGAGTCAAAGATGAAAACAGAGTTTAACTTATAAGATTTCTTTTTAGTATAATCATTATATTCTAGGAATAATCCAAATACAGGAGTCATATCCAAATTTGTTTAATAACAAATCAAAAATAAGTACATTGAGTAATTTTTTTCTAAGTCATTTCTATAAAATGTGAGCAATCCATTTATTAAGTGATTTGGAGTTTCTCTGTCTGAGGCATTACAGAAATGTGTAAAATTATTTGAAAACTAAGTAAAAAGTTCAGTTAACTATCTATATTGTCTATGTAACTTGAAATAACACATCTCAATGATTTCTTTTTTAATAATCCGTTTTTCTTTAGTAAGCAGACTGAGTCAATGGGTCTTTTTTAAGTCAGTTTAGACCTTGTCTGAAAACCCTAATAATGTTCTTCTTCAGATATAAATAAAAGCAAATTTCAGGAAAATCCCACAAATTTATGAAACACATTAGTGACATTATGGAGTAATTAAATTTAAAAAACCAGAGAAGGCTACTGCATCTGTGATAACTAATCCTCCTGCAGGTGGGCACAAAAGTCCGGATTAACCACTCCAAATCCATTCTCATTCTGTTTTTTGTTTTTATAAATTTATCTATTAATATCATCAAGGACCCCTTTTAGTTATTCACTGGATGAAGTCATCTATTATGCTTATAATGGAGTAAGTAAATTATACTTCAACATTTTAGGTACTTTTCATAAACATTAGAATGCAGGTGGTACATGCATCAATTTGCTGTGGTGAATCACAACAGAGGGTGTCCCTGTGTTGAATGAACAACAGCCTGTGAGTGTGAAAAGTCCCAGACACCTGGAGAGAGGACCTGGGAGCAAGAGGATGGCTCCACAAAGCTGAAATGTACAAAATACAGTGCTGAAAACGTGACGTTATGAAGATGGGAGGACTCTCCCCACAGAGGGGCAAAATTAAGAATATTCTATATTTATAATGTTTACATCAATCTGTGTTTAGGTATGCATGAACTGATTTATTGCCCCTACTTCTTTTCTTCTCCCTGTATTCTCAGCAAAGAGTGCCTGGAGTATCCGATGACAATATTACCTGATTACCTACTAAAGTAACAATACCAAAGAAATAACACCAACCCATTAATAAAATACTGGAATTGGCACTTTAGTAGAGGAAAAAGAAGAAGTAAATTTGATCTGATACTCCATGTCATTTAGTGAATTGGGTGGTTGTGTATCTTTTTTCACTATGAATTTTATATTAGATAGATTTTGAGCTGAAAACACAGAAACATATGGTTCCCAAAGGCTTGATAAAGATTTAAGACAGTGCCTTTTATGCTAGCTCTAACTAACTGGTGAGAGTGGAAGTTCTAAAGTGAACCCAGTACTTCACGGTATTAAGGAGAAAACATTTGGTGACTAGATTCTGACTGCATATTTTTCCATCTAGTTTAAATTAAAGAAATGTAAGTAGATACTCTATTCTGGTACTAAAATGAAGTATAAAGTGCCATGACCCACTCAGGTGCATAAACGGGGTCAGCAGAAATACGTATAAAAATAGATAATTTAAAAATATATCATAATTTCAAGGTCAACAATGCGGCAGATATCCCAAGCCCCTCTGTGAATGACTATTACTTTAACAAAACCTTCCATACTTGAGGAACATGTAAGAACTTTTATAGTACTCTGATAAATATTCATTAACAATAAAGAGTTCATACAGTTGCAAGACCAGTTCATATAGTTGCAAACCGTACTTTGGTTTATTTAGTCCATTCTCCTTGCCTTTACTAGCTGAGTGAATCTCCTACGACTTATGGAAATCTTTGTAACTATTTAGAAATATTTTCCATGTGAATTAAAAGATTTCAGAATCAAAATAATTCAACTCTACTACAATAGTAAATATGAAATGACAGTAGAGTAGGTATTATTGTTTACAAACCAACGATCCTTATGAAAATCACTGCAGACAGCAAAGCACTAATTAACCTAAATTTTCAAAAGGGTATCCTCAGGTTCTTTGAATTTTCTTAACTTAGAACACAAAAGGTTTATTAAAATTTTACAAAAATTGTGTTTAGTATACTTTTCAGCCTCAAAATGAACACTATAGACAACTCAACTGGAAAGTCATTAGATTAATTTTGTTTAGTTTGCATGTCTTAGATGGGAGAAGTCAGACATCTGAAAGGGTATCATCTTCCTCAGTGTAATCAGCTGGAGATAATAAATACATACAACTTTGTGAAGTTAGAATGATTTCATGGGCATAGACTCATTATTTTACAGTCTTTTCCTTTTCTATCTTATCAAATGTGGTGTCCAATCTTAATCTTTTAATTCTTCCATGACACATTTTTTAAAAATAAAGAAAAAAATCTGTACTAGAATATAAATAGTACTACTATAAAATTTTAAATATTTTAAAAGAAAATTCAAAACAAAACAAAAAGTAAAAATGTTACTGCTTGTATGGTTGGAATAATCTTTAATCCTTATAAAGTTGATGATTTTGATTAAACTAACACTGATTTTAACATGTAATAATAATATAATCTTTACTTACTATAATCTTTGCAACATTAGCCTTATAATAATACCTCATCCTGAAGCGCAGCTTACCAAGCACACCATATTTGGACAAACTCATGCTGGGTGTCATGAAATCGGCTCTAGCCTCACAACACCCTTCACAAGGGACGATGGACAAATCACCTGACCCTTCTGGGCTTCAGTGCCTTCCAGTGTAAATGAGAGGAGCTTTAGACTAGAGACTTCACTGTACCTTGTATCTCTCATGTTTTAAGCACCTACTTATTAAATCAATTACTTACAAATCAATATTTTAAATCAATGTCTTTATTATAATTCATTTCTCTTCCAGAAGAGTCTCACATTTTAAAGCTCTGAGTATGTTAGTTATTAGTATTTTGCTAAATAATACTACTTTGCATTATAGTTAAAACTAGCATTATTTTTCCATCAATTTTCACAAGAACTTGAAAAAATTTTTAAGAGTTCTCTATCTGCCACAATCAAATTGCTAATTTAAAAAAAATTAAAATTTTTTGTCAAAGGTGTATACAGATTTAAATAAAGCCTTCTCATTAGGTTGGTTTCGCACATGACTCAAATCTTTTAGACTTTTTCTATACTTTTAATATATATTAAATTAATCAGAGGTCTTTTTTCTCCCCTATTTCATGATTACAGGTTCTACTTGCACACCCACCACCCTTTGATGAACCTACCCTACCTATCTCCTTGCAGGATTTAAAACACGGGAAGTTGGTAAAATCCTCATACTAGAGAAAATAAGTATCTGTCTATTACAGAGACCCATGGTAGGCAAAGATTGATTGGAAACTATATTCCAGGAAATTAACTAGATAAGGTGAAAATGATCCACCCCTATATAAATGCATGAGTACCACTTTAGAGTATAAACTCTCAGCCTGAAAACTGTATTACCTGCCCATGGGTATGGTAAAATATGTATAGTAATACAAAAAGATTAAGTTGCACAATGCAATTCTCCTCTACCTTTTGAACCCTTATCATATTATTGCTATATTAAGAACTGTGGAAACTGAATCCCAAACTTCTTCCCTGATATGCTATTCAGATTTGAAGGCTGGAAGTCAAGACCCAGGCTACGCTCTGCTTTTCAGCAATCCAATACTAGCAGAATTCTGAAAAGGTAGTTTCACTATTGCCACCCCTGAATAAAAAGGAAAGAGAATAGATGTCAGGTAATATCAACATCAGATGTCACAGGCAGTCATCAGGTTATTCTTTCAGCTGCTTACCAGTGTGACTCCTTTTATGTACCATAAGCACATTGGGCCCAATGCAAACCATGCCACAGACGTCACATTTCAGTTTACCATTCGGAAGCCGGATTCCTCCCTCGCCTTGGAGCTCCTGGACTTTCCTGTTGTCGGCCACCTCGCTGCTCTCAATTAGGGGCTCTTCTAGGCTGCTGCCTTCATCATGTCCCCTGATATCATCTTCACGGCTCAGGGGTTTCCTGTCACACTCTTCATCACTCTGCATTTCTAGCTTTACTGAATTTGCTGTAATTTAAAAAGAAGCAAGGAGACATTTTAATGCATGTTATGTTGTCACCTACACCTCTCTTCCACCTACCGCCATTCTATTAACATAGTTGGAAATGCTGTGTAAAGTAAAACATAGTCCATCGCCAGTGCAATGTTAACACACACTGTACTCTGAGATTTTACAAAAGCTTTGGCATGAAGGTGAAGATGGATCAGGAAAGCTGTGTGTGAGCAGAACCAACTTTATTTCTGCACACATTTCTTTCTTTTTTTCCTTATTTTAAAATTAAATTTATGGGGGTGACACTGATAAATAACACTGTATAGGTTTCAAGTGTACGACTCTATGATGCATCATGTATATTGCATTATGTGCTCACCCCCAAGTCACATCTTCTCCCATCACCATATATTTGACCCCCTTTGGCCTCACTGTCCGCACCTCCACCCCTCTTCTCGCTCATAGCCACCATACTGTTGTTTTGAGTTTTCATATTATATGAGTTTTCATTTGTTTGTTTTTATTATTTGTTTATTTGTTTTGTTGAGTTTTAAATCCCACAAAGGAGTGAAAGCAGTTATATATTTCTAAAGCAAGTCTCCATATATTGGGTTGGCCAAAAAGTTGGTTATGCTTTTTCCATATGATGCCTCTACTAGAGCTTGGTTGTCTTTAACTTCGTCTGAAACAATGCTGTTACACTTACTGTGACAGCTGTCATATCAGTGTGCATTTAAAAAAATCAAAATTGGTGAATAGAAGATCAGTGTGCATTTTTTAAAAATATCAGCCATTTAAATATTGAAGCTGGAAGAAGATATGCAACATTGATGGCACATTATGTTTTATTATTTCAAGGAAGGTAAAAATGCAACTGAAACACAAAAATCGATTTGTGTGTATGGAGAAAGTGCTGTGACTGACCGAATGTGTAAAAAGTGGTTTATAAAGTTTCTTGGTACTATTGATGTTTTGGCCAAATAATTCTTTGCTGTGGTACTGTCTTATACATTGGGAGATGTTTAGCAGCGCCCCTGGCCTCTACACACTAGAGGCCAACAGCGGGAGATAGCTGACATACTCAAAATATCTGAATCAATGAAGTTATTGGTGAAACTGAAAAATGTGTCTTTACTTTAAGGAAAAAACATGATGGACTTTTTGGTCAACCCAAGAATTCTGGTGTTAGCTTTCGAGTTTTTTGTTAAGGCTACTGAGACTGAGATAGGATTATGGAAGAGAGAAGATTAGATATTTCTTAATCTTAATATAACAATCATTTTACACACATATACACACAGACTTCTTAGTCTGTGTTTTACATCAGAGTACATGTGTAAACCTGTCTCTGAAAGGAGCAAGAAAAACAACTTGGGATCTTAATCCAGCAAATGTCTTAGACCCATGAAGGCACACCACCAAGGCAAATATCCTAAAATCAGACTAAACACATACATTCAGTTAAGAGCTGTATAAATGTAGGGTAGATTACACAAACCTCACTTGCTCTAAGCTATGCTGCTTTTTTACCCTATATGAAGAAAGTTCTCCATGGAACATATTAGTCTGCAAATCAAAGTAATTCAACTTTAAGATGTGCACACCGAAAAGCAATGAATGACAAGAATGGCGTGGCATGCATGCATGCACTTGTGACTGTTAAGAAATTTAATGCCTTCTGTTTGCTGTTTTTGGATCATCCCACAGAAAAGTTGGAATTTGGTTAGCACAGCCCTCATTCTGGATTGCTGACAAAGTCTTTTCACAAAGCAGAAGCAAGTTTTAAATGAATACCAGCTATTTATCCAGTAATCCTGATAATTTTCTTAAAAAATCATATCAAAGTTACTGAGCAAAACAAATTATTTCATATTGCTTGACTAGAGGAAACACTTTCATGAAAAGGAAGTTCTTTTAATTGCAATTGTTTTCTTAGAGAAACCACACACTCTGTGATTTGTTATTGGTACTAATGATGGGGAGTGCTACCAAAATGGCACTTCCACTGTCCCCTCCTTGGAACGCCCCTACCAAGTGGAGGCAGTGTGTACAATGAGGAGATCCCTAGATTTAGCCAGGAGAACGTGGCTCTAGTGCTGACTTTGACATTTACTAGCAGTACACTCTTAAACTAATTCTTTAACCTCTGAATCTTAGATCTTTCGTTTGCAAAGTGGAGATGAATTCAGACTACAGAATAAAGTTTGAACAGAATAGTTTAGCTATTAAGACTGAGGGTCCTGTAACCTGGATTTGAATACTAGTAATGGCACTTAGTACAAACAGCATCACCACCTGCAAGTTACAAATTGGGATGATAATGGTCCTCTCTTCCTAGAGTTGCTGTGAGCATTCAATGAGTAAACATAAAAAATGGCCTTGACTGTTATTTTCTCTGGACTGACAGTGCTCTAGTCCATAAGGTTTGTGCAAATTAATTAACTTATAGGATATAAACTGCTCTGAGATTTAAAAGGGATATATAGGCTTTCTGGCCCCATTTGAAATGAATACTCAAAATAGTACCTATTTGCTAGAACTGAAATAGAAGAAATGGTAAACTTTAGTAATCTTCTCTCACTTTAAAGAACTACACACTTATGAGGATAATCTATTATGGGCATCATTTACACAGGCAAACATATATAGATCACTGCAAAAAAAAGAGGACAGTATAGAAAAACAAATGGGGAAACCTTTTTTGTGAAGCTGTTAAAAACAAATTATCTTAATTTAGTCTATATCTTAATGAACATTTTCTTTGCCACTATTATATTTTGGAAGTTCAAAAAATAATTAAAACCCCAAATATATGCCATTTAAAAACAATGTACAATCTTGTTTCATATACTCATAGGCCTCACACTTGTAAAAGTCATCCACCTCAACCTATAAGAAAGAAGGACCAGAACTGAATTTGCTTAATAAATACTGGCTGACTCAATGATTTCTAAAGTACCTGGTACTTGCCTAATACTTTGCTATTATTATGAAGGTTTAAAACAAAAAGCTGGAAAATGTTATCTTAAATAAGAAATTCACATTAATAGGATAGTATATACACAGATACATGTCATTAACACAGTTCATGAATAAGAAGAGTCCAGGAAATATTTTTCTAATATAGATGATTTGGCTACATGATAGGTTTGTTGTCCTGAACAGTACCTAATGTGAACAGGCTCTTCCTTAGAAACTGGGCACTTACCCCTTTTACTCCGTACCTTCACCAAGTTCTCACCTGTGTGAGATGGCAAAGATTGGCAGTGTTTAGCAAATGATGCCTTCAAATAATGAAATTTTTTATTTTTAAGATTTGGGAGGAAAAGGTAATTTTTTATATGCATAATGTAATATAGTCCATTGATAATTGATTCTGAGTTACAAAATTGAAAGAATAAATTCTAGCCTCATCCTTAACATTTGGTTTTCACAGATAACCCTATCATTTTTAAATGTTAAGTTTTGAAAGTATCATAGTAGTAACCCTATCCTAAAATATCATTATTAAAATATTTTAATGTCTAAATTAAACATTCTACAATTTAAAACTTGATGTCTAGTATAATTTGATTCTATTAACCCTTAAACAAATTATTCCATTTCCTGGCCAGAAAAATAATGCAAAGGTATTACGATTTATTTGCACTATTTGAAATAATGCAATATTGACTGAGCTTATGGGATGTAAAAAAATGCTTTTCTAGATTAATTACTATCCAATTAGGGATTTATTTCTGTTTAGTTTCCAAAATATATTTTTCAATTTTTTTATTTTTAAAGGAAGCAAATACTAAGGAATTAGTGAAATATTTATTTCATACCGCTAAATAAAAGCTACCTAAAATATCATTCTTAAAAATTGGGGAAAAAGCCATTCAGGTATGATGTTTAAGTGGATTTTTATATGTTTGGTTTCTGTTGTGTAAGAATTCAAGGGGACAGTAAGGATCATTATTACTCACAAGCATCAATTTCTCCCTGTCTATGCCATGATACTAGGATGGTGTTATATACACTAATTGAATCAGTATGTCTACTGATTGAAGTTCCTTCTGAGCACATATATCTTTCCCTCTCTCAGACGTTTGAAACAGAAACACTAAATATGATTAAATCCATGTTAACAGCCCAGTAGCTGTTTAAATAATGTGTTAGAAAGACAAACTGCCCTCAAAACACTTCTGTAAAGCACAATTATTTACTAAGAACTTCTGGACAGTCTAAATAATTAAAGTGAAAGCATCACAACAACAATTATCTCAAGACATGTTCAGTTTCTTCAAATTTCCTCAACAAAATTTCGCACAATAGAAAACTTTATTTAACTGTGAGTAAATAAATGGGTAACTCTTGAAAAAGGTCTGCCCCAGAACACCCTTGAAGTGCCCGTTTATAAACGAAACAGGTGCACAGTCCCGACGCTGGTGGCCGCGGAACGCAGCGGAGCCAGGGCGGGCAGCATCCCACGTCCGCGCGCCACCTTGCCTCGCCTCGCTTTTCTTCGTCTCCACTCTCTGCTCTTTCCTATGTGGTCACAGGATGTATTTTAAAGACCCATCAGGAAAACTAGGTTAAGACTGTGCTGATTTCTGAAACACTGTTATTATTCTGAGAACAGTGTGGTAGAAAGTTACCCTGCACCCAAAGGCAGGAAACCAGGGTCTTTACCTGTCCTCCTACCACTTAACTCACTGTGGGACCTTGGGAAATTTATTTCAGCTTAGTCAGCTGCCTCATCTGGCATATGCAAAGCAACACTTGGTATTCCTAAAAATGTTAGGTTGGACAAAATAGTCTCTTTAGACTAAGGATTTAGGGCCCTAGTAATGATAACAGTAACAGTAATAGTGCAATTAATAATATTAAAGAAGGAACTTATACATTTTATAATTTAAAAAAGACAACTTCTGTCTCATGTAATACTCAAACAATGGTGAATTGGGAGTAGGGCAGCACAGATAAATGAATACATCCATGGTGTAAAAAGACTTTCCCAAGGACACAAAGTAAG